GTGCACTGAAACTTGTTAATAACTTCACATGAGGCACCAAGCTCTTTTTTAACAAATTTCTCGTCTTGACAGGAGGAGGGAGGGTGGGCGATGCGACCCCCCGCCCGCACCCTACGGTTTTCTGAGGATACCAATGCGGCATATCGTGCAGTCTCCCTCAAATCTTTGGTAGCCTCTGGAGCATCCATTGCACGCGTTTTGACACCAAAAAGTGTCCCTAGCAATTCTGGTTTCAGAGAAGCGAAGTTTTTGCGAGCATTGCAAGACGATTCAAGGCCGTTAGGCGCGGCGGGAGGCGAGCGGTGATTCTGTGGACCGCGTGCGGTGGATTGGCACTGTTACATGAACGAAACCCTTTATGACAAATAAAGGCTCCAAACAGATGAAACTGCATGCCATTGCACTCATAATTAAACAAGGGAAACGCCTTTTTTATGTCCAATGTTACTACACTGTATGTTTCGTATATATAAACATGCAAAGCTGATGTTTGGTTTCCAGGAAAATTTGACGTTCGCCTTGGTCTAGTGGGGTCAATTAACAAAGCGCGTGCAGCTTTTTCAATCATTTCAGTTAGTTCTGCAGGCAATTGTTTAACAGACCACTGCATTTCGGCGTAAAATTGATGATTTTCTGCTGCATTCCACATAGTTGTGAATATCAACCTGCGAGAGATGTACTCAAGATTCACTCAAAGAACCAAGCATTGATCCTAGGCTTAAACTATTAATCGAGTTTCCCAAATTGTTGATGCACAGTTTCTACCAGTGCTGCAAAGCCTATCATGATGTATTACCCATCACATTCAATTAAACCCTAGCCAATGATAATGCTGAACCTCTTTGATACTTTGTAGCTGGTACTCAGGCAATGCTTACCACTGAACACCATGGGAGTACGTCAAATTTTGAATTTTGATGTGCGTGCACGCAATAAGTACTTACTTGGAATCAAATGGCTTCCGCTAGTTTCGTTTTCGACATCTCCTTTCCCTTTGTTTACAGGCTAATGTCATTAAGCCTGCACAAGGGAGGGTATTTAATGCATGATGAGCATGCCAATCATGGTGTTTGGTCATGACTCATTCATTATCACTTGCCCCGATTCGCCGTTTTTCATAACGCATCACTTTGATGTAAGATCATAAAACCTCTTACCAGCCGCGTAACCTAGTCAAAACCAATTTCCACTTTTTTATTCACGCGGCTTTATTTACGTTAGTTTCGAAACGGGGAGTGGTCGCATCGACCCCCCCCCCCCCCGTTCCACAAAGACGTGTCAAGGGTCAAATTTTCCTGTCAATCGAACATTTTCAGATTTCTATGGCGCTTTGTGTTAGACCATACTCTGCAGTGATACGAAACCTAAGCAGGCATGTTTGTTTTCTAATGATGAGCACAATGGAGTGTAGTTTTAGTGTTTTGAGTATACATTTATGACGCACCATTAATGTACCGGCATCGCCCACCGTCGGCGTCGTCCGGCGGCGGGCGACTTCTTAAAAAACAGGATTGCTACAAACAAGTTGTTGGTGCAAAAATACGAGCGATATATTCTTCAGAGGCTCTCAAAAATTTGGGCGCGGTTGCACAACATGCGAGAGAGGTACCCTCAAAAAACCATAAGGAGTGGGTGGCTACCTGTCCTTCCAGGGCGAGGGTTAACCTTTTTATTTCATTGGTTGATTGCCCCTCCACTAAATGCTGTGCTACATGACAGATTAATAAATCCTCAGTAAGCTTCATGGATGTAATCCTGTGCTGATATCATTCTAGGATTATATTATGCGTGAGTGACACATTTATCAAGGGCTGGAAACATCTGTCTTAAAGAGATTTTGTCTACCGCGAGGGCTTTACACATCCGTGGTCAGAACAAGTGGTTGTAACTCCAAATCTAGGGTTCTAGGGTGATGAGTAAGCCTATGTTATAGGATAATGTAGCTTAATGTTCAGATGAAGGATCGAATTCTATACATCCACCTGCATAAATCCCATCCATCCACTGCTAAGAGACAGTGATAGGTCTTAGTGGGTCAGGCTTTCATCGGGCATGGCATTTGGTCGCGGGTTATCGCGACTCTGGTGCAGGACCGGATCAACAGTGTTGTACTTGGTACCACCCGCGCGCTGGTCGGGTCGTCGGGGTTGATGGCCTGGTCCAAAACTGCCACTTCGTTGGCCGGGCATTCAGCAGTTTCGCTCCCCTGGTTGAAACTAGCATGACCCCAGTCCCCAGTGCAGGGGCAGGTCGTGTATTTGTCATACAATGTGCGCATCAGCCTCCGTATTTCTGCTGACCTGATTATGGGTCCGCGATGAGGCCGTCATCGAGGATACGCTTGAGGTCCGAGGCCGTTAGACTGTGCACAATCTCCAGCGCTACCAAATAACGATCAACTCAGCACGCGACCACCGAAGGTTTTCGGAGGATAACTCTGGTATGTCGTGCAATCCCGCCCAAAACTTTCAGTATCCTCTGTGGCATTCATTGCGCGCGGTTTGACATCAACAACGTGTTGTCGGCAAGTCTGCTTCCCGAGAAGCACTGACTTTTAGGAACACTGCGCGGAGGCCCAGCCGGTGCGGGCGGCGCAGTGCGGGCGGCAACCGACAATGTGCGTTGCACTGTTGCACAAACGTTATGAATGTGTGTGAAAACACAGCTTTTTAAGTTTCGTGTCATGGCGGAGCATGGTCTCATGCATAAAGATGTGCGAAGCTAAAGAAGTTCGATTTCCAGGAAAATTTGACATTTGACCTGGCCTGAAAGTGGCAATTATCGCATTGACCTAGCAGGATACAACCTATCGCTAACCGCAAGGTGTTGTACAGGTCCACCCATAATTTCTTACCGCGAGGCCTTACTGTTCGTAGTTTGGAAATGGCAGAGTGGCGGGGGGGGGGGGGGGCACCGATCTACCCCTTCGCTGTGTCAGTCCTCGTTATGAAAAAGGCGAGCCAGAGCGAGGGAGAATGATTTTGCAAAGCGGTAAAGATATATTTTTTCTGTACGGATTAATCTCTGCAAGGGCCTTTTCCCCAACGCTGGTATTGTTCCAGTAAGTCGTGAGGAGGGAGTATGAGGTGGTTATGCGCCATTTATGGTTGTAATGCGGCCGCTGACCAAATATGTTCTCGCCTCCCCCTTATACGCGACGTCTTACCTTTGACCTGGACCGACTTGCTTACCTGTCTTAAGCCGCTGCACAGGCTACTCATGCACTTAAACATGTACCCTAACCACCGTGGCTTTTGGCATGGCCAGCGAATGGTACTGTAGCGCAACTGAACCTTCCGAAACGAAAATAGTTCGGATGTTTGTGATCCATCGCACTTCCATTGTCTTTTTCGCGCGTGGTTTATCGCATTTATTGTTGTGCTGCGAATGTTTCCGATATACTGGGCTGCAGGTGACAATCTGGGCTGTTGCAAATTTCGCCAGTGACAGAAAAGACACTTTGCGTCCCTGGTCACGCATACCATGCCCCTGCAAGGAAAAAGCCCATCGAAAATCTATCGTTGTCGCTTTCTAGCTTTGACTCAACGGCGGAATAATTGGTTCCAAACAGCCGTTGACACTAACTGCCGCTCTTTAACTCGGTGCGGGTGAGAAATAACGAAAATTTCCATTTGGTCCGAGGCAAGCAGGAGAGCAGAGTCCACTTTCGCACACCTCGCAGTTATTTTATTGCAATTGCTAATTCGTTCTAATGTGTCATCGCTTTATGTTTAACAAAAGTTTTCGCCGTTTCAGCTTTTACTTTTGTTGCATTCAGAGTGAACAGACATGCTCTAGTCTCGCGGGATGAAACCGTATTCGGAAGATCGAGACTGCTATTCAATGAAGGTGGCTGTTTTTTGCATGGAGGACGGGGTGCACTAACACAATATCCTGAACTTTGATAACATAACCCGCATGTGTCCACCCTAAGCGCGATTTAGCATCGCTCACAAGGCCATGTTCGTTGAGACACGCCGAGATTCGTATAACGTACTAAGTATATCACATTAGGTAGTCGAGCCTGTTTTGTGCTCCCGATACTCCCCCATACAGTCAAGCGACAAAGAGTGCTAGTGTATAGAAGTGTCTCGACAATATGTTTTACCGATGGCTCAGAAAATCATTCCGAAGCCTAGACAAGGACGCGAGAACACACATGCATTTTTTGAGCGTCGAAGATGCGTGTTCGGACCATGACCTGACTGGATCAAATGAAATATGAGGGTACGCTGCGATATTTTTATTTGCCAGCAACGCGAATTCTCGTATCTTTTGTTGCCGGATGGTCCTTGCACCTTTGCAGCGAGGATAGAATCGAACTGTCTTCTGATTGCCTCGGTTGGTGTCATTAACCGAAAACTGACGCCCCTTGTCCGGTATCTTCTTAGGCTTGGATGATCATCTTGTCGAGGTCTCATGGCGGACGAACGTCAAGAGATTGTGTGCCATCTGCATTCATATTAACATTTTGATTGCCAACGCAACCGGAAAGGTCATATACAAACAGACTCTACTTATTATAGGGCCGGGGACCGATCCTTGCGGTTGCACCAAGCAGAGTATCCCTCATGTCTTGGACGTGTAAATTTCCATATTGCTTTCGGTCAGTTGGGCGCAAAATGAACTCAGTAGCTTGCGCGCTCCAACTACCAACAACTAAGAAACTAACTTTTGGCCAGTTAAATAATTTTTAAAAAAACATGGGTCAGCGATGTCGGATCAACAGAGTTTACGAAGCGGCTTGCCATGTGACACATAACCAAAGCATTTGGATAAATTCAGGCAGTTCACGCCGCCCTAACTCCTGAGACTTTCGTGCTGATGTAATGATAGGCGGATTAATGTGCACAAATTGTATGAAAGAAGGGATTTTTGCACCGAGCTGCCTGTGGTTGATTTAGTAGCTCCGGGCATGATATGCCGGACGGCAATTCTTGGCGCGGCGGCGAGAAGTAGCACCCTGTGACACACCGGGGCACCAAGGACGGGCACTGCGCTGAGGGGAACGTACCGGTTTGTTCGCGGAGCGCGAGCGGGAGTGTTGGAAGGTGCGGTGCCAGGAAGCGGTGTGCGGGCGCAGCAGTGCGGTACATACGGCCTTGGGCGGAACGTGAACATCCAGTGCCTGCCGTAGCTCGGCCAGGAGTGGTGTGCGGTTAGCATCCAGTATTCCCTTGTGGTGTGCTCGGTTCCCTTCTCAGGAGTGTTCGAGGACCGGTCTTGGTCCGACAAGGAGACAGCTTGCGGTCGTATATCCGGCGTCGGCAGAGTACAGTACCATTCGTCACTGAAATTACGTGGTAAGTTTGATAATCTTACATCCTCTGGGCTTAGGAACCAGGTGTGTGACCCTCAGCGTTTAGGGTGAGGGGTTCATGGTATATTTGATCTTTCAGTTTTTAAGCTCTTGGGTGCAAAAATGATGTAACATAAAGGACAATAACTATGTTTACCCATTTTTTACTTATCAGCATTAAGTAGCCAAAATATGATCAGATACAGGTGCTTACATTTTGGTTGCTTACCTGCCTGCATGCCATAGGCTGTTTCCTTAGACCTAAGCCCCAACAAATTCACTTTAGTTTCTGTGTTGATGTTGGCAACTGTGGTAAGGTGGGTACACACCTTCCCTTCCAATCTGTCCTTTTTATGTATTTGTGATGGTAGATCTCCATATCTCAGTTTTGATTTGTATGCATTGAATTGTGTTTCAACATGACCATCCTTTAACTTAACTTCTTTGGTAGTTGTTATGGATACTAGTGAATGTTATCTTTGGTTTTGCATCATAGTTACTTAGGTGCATTTAATACATCCCTATAAACCCTTCTAGAAATGTTTTTGCGACTGTGCTAATTTGTACATAGATATGGCATGTTTCAGTGCACTGATATTTTAGGAGCACTTTTATTATCAATGCATTTATATACTGGTCCTAAATTTCTAATAAAATAGCTTGGCAAGCAGGCCAGATTAAAAAACTCAATACCTTGAATTTCAAGACTTATTTGGAAGATCTGCCATCATCTGATTTCTGTTGACAGGGCTCATTAACAATTTACTTGCAGTGATTTTACATCCAGGTACATAGATAGGTGGACAGGTTTTCTGGGTGTACATATTTACTTGATTTGGCTTTGGTCCAGAAACTTATGCATCAAGGAGGAATGATGCAATAGGAACATAGCCATAATACTGCATAATATTGCAATACATAATACTGATCATAGCAATGCAATTTAACTACACAAGAAAATGGTAATGCAGCTATAGCATATATGTGAATATGTGGCATATGTTCACAGAAACATGACTTGACTTGATCATGTGCACCAAGGCTTGCATAGTGCACCTAACCCCATTTTGGTCTGCATGCTGGGCATTTCTGAGGCATAATTTTTTCAATATACATGTTAATCGTGAGACTTGTGATACTTCAGTTTATATTTTCAACACATTTGTCATCCTGGGCCACAGGCACCACTGCAGTATGTTCACTGTGTAGTCAAATTTTGGTTATAGTCTTTGCATATTATATCCAGAAGCACTGATCAGTTCAGAATTTGTTTGGAATTCAGGACTGTGGTAGGAGCTGGAGCCTCTCAGAATACAAAAGTTCTTCCCATTAGGACTTGCAATGGTGAAAGGAAGTGCACTGTAATTCGAGTAATATTTGGTCAGGACATCATTGTGATAGTCAGGTTTTAGTACCATAAGGAAAATGCAAGAACAAACAGGATTATGCAAAAACATTCAGTTGCCACATTGTTATAATGACACTGATTTGGAGTTTGTCCATATTTGAACTTACCCAGGTTTTGGTACCATAAGCAAAATGCAAGAACAAACAGGACTTTTCAAAGACATTCAGTTGCCACATTGTTATAATGACACTGACTTGAGTCTGTCTGTATTGAAAGTTCTATATACATATATATATATATATATATATATATATATATATATATATATATATTTGCATGCATGTGTGCATGCATGCGTGCAAATAAGTGCTCAAGCGGTCCAAGATGCGTTATTTCCGCATCACACGTTGAACGCCTTGCAAATTCGTAAACGCTGGACGGCTCGGGCCGACACGCGACGTTAACTCTGCAGCGCATCGCTCTGGCCGCTCGTAGCGCACTTCTGTGTTATGTCCTGTATGTGTTTTATTCCTAATGAGCGCATACAATGCAAAGACACAATATAAAACACCTCCGTGTTTTAGTCCGCGTTTCTAGCACGTATTTATCATTTTCCGTGTTTTATTCTGAAACATAAACATGTCTTACTCGAATACACAATAAGCCAAGCACGTGGAATGATTCATGCACATATGTAAACTGAACTAAACCAAACACACGGTGCGTGACCAAGAAATAGAATGATCAGGAACCACGCACCACTCGTGAGGCGCGCAGCGGGTGCGTGCGTTGGAACCTGTTTTGGCGTAGCGTGCAACACGGGTTCCAAAATATGATACCAAGCATCTTCACATTGAGAAGGTGATGTTGTCAAATGTCGTGGTTGACGCACAAACAGAAAGTTTTGAGCACTGTTCCTGGACTGGAAAGGCTCGTTCTGACAAGGCATGATGGCCTACAGTTCATTAACGTCAATTTCGCCGAAGAGGTTTTTGTTGGTTCGAAAAGGTGTTTATATAACATTTGAAATGTAATAGGTGGTGTATTTCCTCTGCGATTAGCATGGGTCCTGCATTTTCGTGCCCCTTGCTAATTTCAGGGTAAACCATGAACACTATTTCGGGGTAAACCATGCCGTCCTTGCGCTTTGTTCGTGATGAGATAGAACCCACCCATCCAAATCGTTTGTGATTTGAATATTCAAAAGGTGCGACATGCTTTCCTCCTTTATGTGACGCATTCCGATAGGAATTGTATTTTTCGTACAATAATGGCTCTACGAAGCGTTGACTGCATTTTCGCTGCGCGGGACGATTGCACGGTATCGGTGCTCATGTTTATGACTCTCGCACTTCCAATAGCATGAAGATCGGAATCCTACGCAAATCGCATTATTTCTGGCTATTTGTCTATGCAGCACAGGTTGCCGTTGTGGCTGCGGCTATTTGGTTGTGATCATGTAGTGTCATATACGGTGAAATGGCCTGTTCTGCCTCAACAGTGGCTGGTAGGCATGAGTTTCCTGCATCTGGGGTGCTTAGTTTCCACCAGAAACGCTTCTGTTTCTCAGAAGAGATAAGCCGGGTGTAGCGCCCCGCACTTAAAAAGCCGATCCTTTTTACACCACCCGTCTACGTAATCAGTGTTTTGCAGGTTTTTCTAGGGCATTGTGGCGGAAAACATGACTGGCTGGAATGAGCTGAAACGAAACGTAGCGGTTTGCAGTGGATCTGAATGCATTTCTAACGTGAAAACTCAATTGCCTGCCGACAGACGAACTCCCTGGATGTGTCCGGAGTAGGAAGTGCGAAAACCTTTGAAAGAAAGCTTGCATTCGCTGTTGCCTTATGCAGTTGTCTGAAACTGCTGGGCGTTTGCCGTAGCAATTTCGCAAAGGTCTTGGCTCCGATCTGGGTTTTCCCACTTGCTAATGCAGCTTTCCGATATGTACGTTTACAGCTTCAACGTGCATGGATAAGGCTCGGTGCTCAAGTTCAGTCGGCTGGAAAATCCGGAGTCAGCGATGTGGACTCGTCCCCTACGCGAATTCCTGCCGACTCCTTGTCTGCCAAGTTTTTGGCTGCTTCGCGAGGCCAAGATGCACAAATTATCGAACGAAGCCTGCTTGCTCGCAACAAGTGTTCGGTCAAGCGGCTTCTTTGTAGGTGCACTTATACCATCAACGCGGCGCATGGCCGCTCCCCCGCACCCCGCATCGTAAATACTTGCCTTACGATGCTCTTCCCTCCCATCAGCAGTCAGGTGTGGTGGGCAGGGGCTCGGATGTGTTGATCCGCGCGGCATGTCAGCGGTTGCACAGCGGGCGGCAGTGCTGTCGCCAGCGACTGCGACGAGTTCGGCGGCGGCGCGCCGATCGCCGGATGCTATCTGCCCTGAGACAGTTAGTTCAGCCGGTCTGCAGATGTGCATCCGGGAGCCGGTCGGCGCGCGCCCGGTACCGGAGGCGGCGCGCTGGCAGCCGGCCGAGCTCCGTCCGCCGCTGCCGACCGCTCACCCGCCGCATGCCAAGCGCGCCGGCACGGCCGGCCGTTTCTGGATGGCCGGGCGCTCGGCGCGCGCCGCCGCGTCCGCGCTCGTACGGCGCAGGCCGCCCGTGATACGGCCGCGCTCCGACATGCGCAGCGCGGCGCCGGTGTCAGCAGCGGCGTAGCTTCTCGTCCACCGTGCGAGGGAACCGGTGCTTCTTGGCTGCTGATGACGTGCGGCGCGGCGACTGGCGGTCGCCGAACGATGACTGGTATCGGCGGGCTAGGCAACGCGGTGGTACTCTGTGCGCTTCGCTGTGCTGACGGACGACCTAGTGTATGCGCTTGCCGTCCCTCTACTAGGCCAGCACGGCTACGTTCTGCAGTCGCCACCGCGTACAAAGACAACAGCAAAGTTCATCGCCCTTGCTCTGCACCGGATGAGATGCACATGCGTTCAGCCGCTATTCACATCCAGCAGCAGCGGCCTCGCGGACATTGGGAGCCTCGCCCGCCCGTGGGTGGCGGCAGAAAGCAGAGTGGATGCTTGAGGTGGTGATAGCTCTATCCGCGAATGTGCACTTGATCACTGCGAGGCGGCACCAGTGAGCCCTTGATCTGAGAAGTGGTGGTCGGGCGGCAGCAGTGTCATGCAGAAGCTGATAGGGGTCTGAATTGAGAGCTTCGGGCACCAAATGCGGAGTGCTTAAAAGATACTCTGCGGCATAAAGTAGTTAGTCCATTTGTGAGCCCCAGTGGGACCGGCAATAAGCTCCGTGTAGCAAAATCATGATCCGAATGTGATTTGGGTTTGGCATCGATCCAACCTTATGGTAAGAAAATTCTCCGCAGTTTTTGTCGGGCCATTGAATGTGTTATTTTGCGATTAGCTTTCAGGTGCCAGTGTGTTTCAGATTCTTCCCTCCTGGTTTGTCTCATTGGTGTGATGATATCTTTACGGTACACGATTACACGGATTAGAATTCGCATCTTCCTCCGTGAGGTGTGTTGGGTGGGTAGGCACGGGTTTGCCGCAATCGAGGATTGACTAGATGCCTGTTCAAATATTGCAACGTCCGGTACCCGTGCTATCCAAGAAGTCGCGGGCTCAGAGAGGCTTTGTTCTTCGGTGGTGATATTTTCTTGTGAATTCCTTACCCTCATCGTTAC